CAATAACAAAAAATGAATAACAAGGTAAATGCAGCACTAGTTGATGTGGATGGGACTTGTGATTTCCCTTAGGCGTTTCTATGAAGTGCACTGTCGTCTACAGACAAAGCTCGACTGAGAGTCGTCATATCGTAGCTGCTGTCGTTGCTGTATAGGTCTCCCTGGTCTTCGTCGTCCTCACTATATGAGCTGTCGGACAAGAGTTCCGCGAAGGAAGCTTCATCGTCATTGAAAGAGGTATCTGCATTCCAGTCCGCCTCCGAATCACTCTCTGCAGAAGCATCTTTGGTGATGGCGTTTACACAGGCTTGCACCTCTTGCCACTTGAGTTGTCTGTAGATGGTAAACATCTCCTTGACACCTTCCAGCACCCATCGTCTCTGGATCAGCTGTTCACCTCGGATTATGCAGTTGTTGGAGGAGTTGGCTGTCATCTTCCGCATCAGATGGTAGACTTGGGTATCTGAAAACAATAAAACGGGTAATTAGAAATCTCGCTAAATGTGTTCACAACAATGTCATTTTATTTTGTTCAATTCTAAAATTCAGTGTGATACCAATATTGCCATGTTTGCAGGGGACTGAAAAAGAGCACAGTTCATATTTACCTAATGTCAGGATCTCTTTCACTGCATTGTCGTGGGCAATAAGGAGACGTCTCAGCTTGATGGCAACTTGAACTGGATCCATTTTCTAGGGCCTTCGGACACAACACTAGAATGCAGTCGGATGAAATACTACAGGAATTCAGTAGCGCCAAATTTGGATAATTGGAAAGTAGATGTGTTCGTTTTCACGGATTGAGATGAAGTGAAGGACTCCAGTCCGTGCAAAACATTCATACTGACCCTTAGTATAAACATAGTAGTGAAGATTTATAGATCAAAGAGAGCATTTTCGAAGCCAGTGGCGAGATCAAAGCTACACTGCAACTTCATTAGGCTTTGATCCGAAAGGAATCTCACTGTCCACTTGAGAAACCAATCAACTTCTTGTCAAAACAAGTTTCCGTATAAAGGGAGAGGTCTGAGAAGAGTTCAACCAATCTAGTCCTGTTATCTCCAGAGATTATCAATCATTGTTAATTGATTAAATCGGGATTGATCAAACGGCGCAGTACGTTGTGTTACTTAAAAATCCGATGTGGTTACTTTCGCATCCACAGAAACCAAGTCACAGAAACTTCTATCAGCTTGGAAATCGTGTGATGCTTCTCTGAACGTTTAGTTTCAATTAAAAAACCCGAGAAAACCATGTCCACAATCCTAAGAAATCCTTACTCTGGTAGGCAAAGGCAAAGTGAATAAATGTACAGTCAAATCTTGAACTTATTGTACACATCTGTTTGAGGTCGTAAATGCTATGATAATCTGACCATTTTCCCAACCCGTCTTACATGATCGAAATACAGCACGTATGTTTTGAAGCATTTCAAATACTATTTTTTATGAATACCATCATCATGGTATAATTGAAGCAGCTCATTTGGCTTAAGTATCTGGATATTAACCATCTTAGAAGCTTTTGGATGGACGTCGGCTACTTAAAAGGTTACTATATAAATAAATAAATAGGCATGTACAATTAAGTTTATGTGTGTTAAATGATCTAGAGACATTATCTTCAGTGTATAACTGTCATGTTTTTGGGAGAATTACAAAGCACGGTGTCATGATTTATATCTTTGAATACAGAATGCTGTTAAAGCACATAATCGAAATTGGAGTATGTTGCTAGATAAACATAAGCACGTTGTTAGCATTGTTTTTGAAAGATGCCCACTGTTTCATGTCAGGATATTCTGATCTTTACTTTTTAGTGCTTTCAGCGGAATAGTATTCATCAAGTGCTGACTTGGATCAGAAATGTTATTTGGCCTGTGTTGATGTCAATGTTTCAATTTCCTTTTGTTTTCCATGCTGTGTACATTGACAATTTTTAACATGCATGACTCTCTCCTTAAGCACTTGGGCATGTACATTTCAAAAGGAAAGAGAAACAATTAAATGCTCTGATAATATGAAATACAACCTGACATATATATCTCGCAGATCAATATCATATGGGGTTGTGGTTCGTCTGTCTAAATCCTTTTGCTATAGGATCGGAATGGATACGGAAAACGAATTGCAACGTTCCAAACTGTATTTAATGTTATGGTGCAACCATTACATTGGAATCTCTTCTTCTCCATCATACCTAATGTCCAAATGTGTTTCATTTCAATTGATCTTATATTCAATAGTCTGTATCTTTTTCCTATTTCAAAGAATAGATTAAGGACGATATCTGCGAATGATTGCCATACTCAGAACCAAGTAAAATGATCGAAGGCTTGGTATTGTGAGATACCATCTCAAATTAACCTTTTCTCTCTCTCACAAACTTTCTATACGAATGATGTCTTCAAGATGTCGTGAGCGTGTCAGCAAATGATCAAGATTATAATATCGACTTCATTATTTATTTCCTCAGCATATTCATCAACAAACAAATGTGGTTTACAATATAATAGGATGCCCTTTGCACACTGTCAGGCAACATTTGTGTACAATAACAAAAAATGAATAACAAGGTAAATGCAGCACTAGTTGATGTGGATGGGACTTGTGATTTCCCTTAGGCGTTTCTATGAAGTGCACTGTCGTCTACAGACAAAGCTCGACTGAGAGTCGTCATATCGTAGCTGCTGTCGTTGCTGTATAGGTCTCCCTGGTCTTCGTCGTCCTCACTATATGAGCTGTCGGACAAGAGTTCCGTGAAGGAAGCTTCATCATCATTGAAAGAGGTATCTGCATTCCAGTCCGCCTCCGAATCACTCTCTGCAGAAGCATCTTTGGTGATGGCGTTTACACAGGCTTGCACCTCTTGCCACTTGAGTTGTCTGTAGATGGTAAACATCTCCTTGACACCTTCCAGCACCCATCGTCTCTGGATCAGCTGTTCACCTCGGATTATGCAGTTGTTGGAGGAGTTGGCTGTCATCTTCCGCATCAGATGGTAGACTTGGGTATCTGAAAACAATAAAACGGGTAATTAGAAATCTCGCTAAATGTGTTCACAACAATGTCATTTTATTTTGTTCAATTCTAAAATTCAGTGTGATACCAATATTGCCATGTTTGCAGGGGACTGAAAAAGAGCACAGTTCATATTTACCTAATGTCAGGATCTCTTTCACTGCATTGTCGTGGGCAATAAGGAGACGTCTCAGCTTGATGGCAACTTGAACTGGATCCATTTTCTAGGGCCTTCGGACACAACACTAGAATGCAGTCGGATGAAATACTACAGGAATTCAGTAGCGCCAAATTTGGATAATTGGAAAGTAGATGTGTTCGTTTTCACGGATTGAGATGAAGTGAAGGACTCCAGTCCGTGCAAAACATTTATACTGACCCTTAGTATAAACATAGTAGTGGAGATTTATAGATCAAAGAGAGCATTTTCGAAGCCAGTGGCGAGATCAAAGCTACACTGCAACTTCATTAGGCTTTGATCCGAAAGGAATCTCACTGTCCACTTGAGAAACCAATCAACTTCTTGTCAAAACAAGTTTCCGTATAAAGGGAGAGGTCTGAGAAGAGTTCAACCAATCTAGTCCTGTTATCTCCAGAGATTATCAATCATTGTTAATTGATTAAATCGGGATTGATCAAACGGCGCAGTACGTTGTGATACTTAAAAATCCGATGTGGTTACTTTCGCATCCACAGAAACCAAGTCACAGAAACTTCTATCAGCTTGGAAATCGTGTGATGCTTCTCTGAACGTTTAGTTTCAATTAAAAAACCCGAGAAAACCATGTCCACAATCCTAAGAAATCCTTACTCTGGTAGGCAAAGGCAAAGTGAATAAATGTACAGTCAAATCTTGAACTTATTGTACACATCTGTTTGAGGTCGTAAATGCTATGATAATCGACCATTTTCCCAACCCGTCTTACATGATCGAAATACAGCACGTATGTTTTGAAGCATTTCAAATACTATTTTTTATGAATACCATCATCATGGTATAATTGAAGCAGCTCATTTGGCTTAAGTATCTGGATATTAACCATCTTAGAAGCTTTTGGATGGACGTCGGCTACTTAAAAGGTTACTATATAAATAAATAAATAGGCATGTACAATTAAGTTTATGTGTGTTAAATGATCTAGAGACATTATCTTCAGTGTATAACTGTCATGTTTTTGGGAGAATTACAAAGCACGGTGTCATGATTTATATCTTTGAATACAGAATGCTGTTAAAGCACATAATGGAAATTGGAGTATGTTGCTAGATAAACATAAGCACGTTGTTAGCATTGTTTTTGAAAGATGCCCACTGTTTCATGTCAGGATATTCTGATCTTTACTTTTTAGTGCTTTCAGCGGAATAGTATTCATCAAGTGCTGACTTGGATCAGAAATGTTATTTGGCCTGTGTTGATGTCAATGTTTCAATTTCCTTTTGTTTTCCATGCCGTGTACATTGACAATTTTTAACATGCATGACTCTCTCCTTAAGCACTTGGGCATGTACATTTCAAAAGGAAAGAGAAACAATTAAATGCTCTGATAATATGAAATACAACCTGACATATATATCTCGCAGATCAATATCATATGGGGTTGTGGTTCGTCTGTCTAAATCCTTTTGCTATAGGATCGGAATGGATACGGAAAACGAATTGCAACGTTCCAAACTGTATTTAATGTTATGGTGCAACCATTACATTGGAATCTCTTCTTCTCCATCATACCTAATGTCCAAATGTGTTTCATTTCAATTGATCTTATATTCAATAGTCTGTATCTTTTTCCTATTTCAAAGAATAGATTAAGGACGATATCTGCGAATGATTGCCATACTCAGAACCAAGTAAAATGATCGAAGGCTTGGTATTGTGAGATACCATCTCAAATTAACCTTTTCTCTCTCTCACAAACTTTCTATACGAATGATGTCTTCAAGATGTCGTGAGCGTGTCAGCAAATGATCAAGATTATAATATCGACTTCATTATTTATTTCCTCAGCATATTCATCAACAAACAAATGTGGTTTACAATATAATAGGATGCCCTTTGCACACTGTCAGGCAACATTTGTGTACAATAACAAAAAATGAATAACAAGGTAAATGCAGCACTAGTTGATGTGGATGGGACTTGTGATTTCCCTTAGGCGTTTCTATGAAGTGCACTGTCGTCTACAGACAAAGCTCGACTGAGAGTCGTCATATCGTAGCTGCTGTCGTTGCTGTATAGGTCTCCCTGGTCTTCGTCGTCCTCACTATATGAGCTGTCGGACAAGAGTTCCGTGAAGGAAGCTTCATCATCATTGAAAGAGGTATCTGCATTCCAGTCCGCCTCCGAATCACTCTCTGCAGAAGCATCTTTGGTGATGGCGTTTACACAGGCTTGCACCTCTTGCCACTTGAGTTGTCTGTAGATGGTAAACATCTCCTTGACACCTTCCAGCACCCATCGTCTCTGGATCAGCTGTTCACCTCGGATTATGCAGTTGTTGGAGGAGTTGGCTGTCATCTTCCGCATCAGATGGTAGACTTGGGTATCTGAAAACAATAAAACGGGTAATTAGAAATCTCGCTAAATGTGTTCACAACAATGTCATTTTATTTTGTTCAATTCTAAAATTCAGTGTGATACCAATATTGCCATGTTTGCAGGGGACTGAAAAAGAGCACAGTTCATATTTACCTAATGTCAGGATCTCTTTCACTGCATTGTCGTGGGCAATAAGGAGACGTCTCAGCTTGATGGCAACTTGAACTGGATCCATTTTCTAGGGCCTTCGGACACAACACTAGAATGCAGTCGGATGAAATACTACAGGAATTCAGTAGCGCCAAATTTGGATAATTGGAAAGTAGATGTGTTCGTTTTCACGGATTGAGATGAAGTGAAGGACTCCAGTCCGTGCAAAACATTTATACTGACCCTTAGTATAAACATAGTAGTGGAGATTTATAGATCAAAGAGAGCATTTTCGAAGCCAGTGGCGAGATCAAAGCTACACTGCAACTTCATTAGGCTTTGATCCGAAAGGAATCTCACTGTCCACTTGAGAAACCAATCAACTTCTTGTCAAAACAAGTTTCCGTATAAAGGGAGAGGTCTGAGAAGAGTTCAACCAATCTAGTCCTGTTATCTCCAGGGATTATCAATCATTGTTAATTGATTAAATCGGGATTGATCAAACGGCGCAGTACGTTGTGATACTTAAAAATCCGATGTGGTTACTTTCGCATCCACAGAAACCAAGTCACAGAAACTTCTATCAGCTTGGAAATCGTGTGATGCTTCTCTGAACGTTTAGTTTCAATTAAAAAACCCGAGAAAACCATGTCCACAATCCTAAGAAATCCTTACTCTGGTAGGCAAAGGCAAAGTGAATAAATGTACAGTCAAATCTTGAACTTATTGTACACATCTGTTTGAGGTCGTAAATGCTATGATAATCGACCATTTTCCCAACCCGTCTTACATGATCGAAATACAGCACGTATGTTTTGAAGCATTTCAAATACTATTTTTTATGAATACCATCATCATGGTATAATTGAAGCAGCTCATTTGGCTTAAGTATCTGGATATTAACCATCTTAGAAGCTTTTGGATGGACGTCGGCTACTTAAAAGGTTACTATATAAATAAATAAATAGGCATGTACAATAAAGTTTATGTGTGTTAAATGATCTAGAGACATCATCTTCAGTGTATAACTGTCATGTTTTTGGGAGAATTACAAAGCACGGTGTCATGATTTATATCTTTGAATACAGAATGCTGTTAAAGCACATGATGGAAATTGGAGTATGTTGCTAGATAAACATAAGCACGTTGTTAGCATTGTTTTTGAAAGATGCCCACTGTTTCATGTCAGGATATTCTGATCTTTACTTTTTAGTGCCTTTCAGGGGAATAGTATTCATCAAGTGCTGACTTGGATCAGAAATGTTATTTGGCCTGTGTTGATGTCAATGTTTCAATTTCCTTTTGTTTTCCATGCTGTCTACATTGACAATTTTTAACATGCATGACTCTCTCCTTAAGCACTTGGGCATGTACATTTCAAAAGGAAAGAGAAACAATTAAATGCTCTGATAATATGAAATACAACATGACATATATATCTCGCAGATCAATATCATATGGGGTTGTGGTTCGTCTGTCTAAATCCTTTTGCTATAGGATCGGAATGGATACGGAAAACGAATTGCAACGTTCCAAACTGTATTTAATGTTATGGTGCAACCATTACATTGGAATCTCTTCTTCTCCATCATACCTAATGTCCAAATGTGTTTCATTTCAATTGATCTTATATTCAATAGTCTGTATCTTTTTCCTGTTTCAAAGAATAGATTAAGGACGATATCTGCGAATGATTGCCATACTCAGAACCAAGTAAAATGATCGAAGGCGAATGATGTCTTCAAGATGTCGTGAGCGTGTCAGCAAATGATCAAGATTATAATATCGACTTCATTATTTATTTCCTCAGCATATTCATCAACAAACAAATGTGGTTTACAATATAATAGGATGCCCTTTGCACACTGTCAGGCAACATTTGTGTACAATAACAAAAAATGAATAACAAGGTAAATGCAGCACTAGTTGATGTGGATGGGACTTGTGATTTCCCTTAGGCGTTTCTATGAAGTGCACTGTCGTCTACAGACAAAGCTCGACTGAGAGTCGTCATATCGTAGCTGCTGTCGTTGCTGTATAGGTCTCCCTGGTCTTCGTCGTCCTCACTATATGAGCTGTCGGACAAGAGTTCCGTGAAGGAAGCTTCATCGTCATTGAAAGAGGTATCTGCATTCCAGTCCGCCTCCGAATCACTCTCTGCAGAAGCATCTTTGGTGATGGCGTTTACACAGGCTTGCACCTCTTGCCACTTGAGTTGTCTGTAGATGGTAAACATCTCCTTGACACCTTCCAGCACCCATCGTCTCTGGATCAGCTGTTCACCTCGGATTATGCAGTTGTTGGAGGAGTTGGCTGTCATCTTCCGCATCAGATGGTAGACTTGGGTATCTGAAAACAATAAAACGGGTAATTAGAAATCTCGCTAAATGTGTTCACAACAATGTCATTTTATTTTGTTCAATTCTAAAATTCAGTGTGATACCAATATTGCCATGTTTGCAGGGGACTGAAAAAGAGCACAGTTCATATTTACCTAATGTCAGGATCTCTTTCACTGCATTGTCGTGGGCAATAAGGAGACGTCTCAGCTTGATGGCAACTTGAACTGGATCCATTTTCTAGGGCCTTCGGACACAACACTAGAATGCAGTCGGATGAAATACTACAGGAATTCAGTAGCGCCAAATTTGGATAATTGGAAAGTAGATGTGTTCGTTTTCACGGATTGAGATGAAGTGAAGGACTCCACTTACTTACTTACTTACTTTGGAGATTTAACGTGCGCTTTCCGACTGATGCGTATTTCGCACACGGGCCCGGCCAGGCCATTTAATGTGTTTCCGAAAGGGGCGAAGGTGGTCTGTGCAACCCAAGAGGGGGGTTTTAGGGGTTGCTTATATAGAATTTGGGAATTTTGAGATTTGGAATAGATGCCGATGGGATTGGGGAGGAGAACTAAGGGAGCTGGGTATGGTGGATGTTTGTTTGTTTATGTGATTTTGATTTGGTGAGTTATTGTGTTTTTAGATGCGTTTTATTAGTTCCGTTTTGATTAAGAATACGCCTAAGGCCTTGAAGTTTTCTAGTTTATTTTGTGGGTTTAGTATTGCTTCTAGAGTTAGAGCCTTGTTTAGATTGAGGGTGGTTTGTAATGCGGTTCGATGTGTTAGGTAGTGTGTGCAGTGGATGAGTGCGTGTTCTGGGGTTTCTGGTTGTTTGCAGTGCGGGCAGTTACCTGTAGTGTGTTTTTTAAATTTTTTTAGGTGGTTATTTAGGTTGGTGTGTCCTGTTTGGAGTTTAGTGATTACTCTGTCGATTTTTTTGGATGGATGGAGAATTTTTGGTTTGGTTAGTGGTTTGCTGAGCACTTTTTTGATTTGGCTATTTGAGTTTAGATATAGGTTATGCCATTTTTTGGTGATTTTTTGCTTGTTTACACTTTTAATTTCTGATTTTGAGATGGGTAAGTTTAAGCTTATTTCTGGGATTTTGAGGGATAGTTTAGCTGCTTTATCGGCGTTTTCATTACCGTATATTCCTACGTGGGCGGGTATCCACAAGAAGGTTATTTGTTTGCCTGCCTTAGTTAGGTCGTTGGAGCTTTTAAGTATTTGATTTATTAATTTAGGTCGGTTTTTGGTATTTTTGTTTTGGAGGGCTTGCAGTCCACTTAGGGAGTCGGTAAGTATTAGGATTTTTTTGTGGTTTTTGGATTCTTGATTATGGAGGGCTGAGGCCATGCCCATTAGTTCTGCCGTGAATATTGATTGGTTGTTTGGGAGTCGGAAGGATTGTGTGGTTTTAGTTGGTTGTGGGGTATGGACTCCGAAACCTGTGTGTTTGGAGGTCGGATCTGAGGATCCGTCCGTGTAAATGTGACACCAATTTGGCCAATTTTCGTGTATGTATGCTAGTGTGGTAGTTTTAGCTATGTTTGGGTCGGTTTGTTTATTTATTTGGCTAGCTAGTGTTGTGTCTATTTTGGGTATTTTAAGTTTAGGGGTGAAGATATTTGATTGTTTGCAGTTTTGTTTAAGATTTTTAATTTGGTGTTCATTTAGGTAGTTTGTTATTCTTTGGGATATTGGGGTAAGTAAGGGGTGTTTACGAGCTAGAGCTTGGTTTTTGGGGCTGATGTTTTGGTTTATTAAGTTTTGGATGAGAGGGTTTGATTGGGACGCGGCCCAGAAATTTAAGCTTAGCTGTTCCCTGCGTAGACTTAGTGGCATTTCTCCTGTTAAGGACTGAAGTGAGGTGTAGGAGGTGCCATGTTGGGTGCGTGTAATTAGTTTGAGAGCCTGATATTGTATTGAGTCAAGTTTTTTAGATAGAGGTGTTTAGGGTGTTGTGTATGGCGCAGCCGTAGTCTAGTTTTGATCTAATTAGTGATATGTAGAGAGAGAGGAGGGTATCTTTGGATGCTCCCCAGTTAGAACCAGTTAGGCATCTTAGGGTGTTTAGGTCTTTACTGCATTTAGTTGTTAGGTTAGGTGAGATGTTCATCGAAAATAAGTCCTAAGAATTTGGTTTGTTTTTGAAATTTGATTGTTTGATTGTTTAGCTGGAGGATTGGGGAGGCGGGTTTCATGTTTTTATGTTTGAATACTATTCCTGTTGTTTTTTCTGAGTTAAGGGAGAAGCCCCATTTGTCAGCCCACTGTTGTATTTTATTAAGAGATTTTTGGAGTAAATTTTGGACCATGTTCATGCTTTTAGTGCGGATCCAGATGGCTCCATCATCCGCGAATTTTGATGTGTTTACTTTAGGGGATAGGCCCTCGAATAGATCGTTTATCATTATATTGAAGAGGGTGGGGCTGAGGATACTGCCCTGTGGAGTACCATTTTCTAGGGGACATTGGTCCCGATGAAGGACTCCAGTCCGTGCAAAACATTTATACTGACCCTTAGTATAAACATAGTAGTGGAGATTTATAGATCAAAGAGAGCATTTTCGAAGCCAGTGGCGAGATCAAAGCTACACTGCAACTTCATTAGGCTTTGATCCGAAAGGAATCTCACTGTCCACTTGAGAAACCAATCAACTTCTTGTCAAAACAAGTTTCCGTATAAAGGGAGAGGTCTGAGAAGAGTTCAACCAATCTAGTCCTGTTATCTCCAGAGATTATCAATCATTGTTAATTGATTAAATCGGGATTGATCAAACGGCGCAGTACGTTGTGTTACTAAAAAATCCGATGTGGTTACTTTCGCATCCACAGAAACTTCTATCAGCTTGGAAATCGTGTGATGCTTCTCTGAACGTTTAGTTTCAATTAAAAAACCCGAGAAAACCATGTCCACAATCCTAAGAAATCCTTACTCTGGTAGGCAAAGGCAAAGTGAATAAATGTACAGTCAAATCTTGAACTTATTGTACACATCTGTTTGAGGTCGTGAATGCTATGATAATCTGACCATTTTCCCAACCCGTCTTACATGATCGAAATACAGCACGTATGTTTTGAAGCATTTCAAATACTATTTTTTATGAATACCATCATCATGGTATAATTGAAGCAGCTCATTTGGCTTAAGTATCTGGATATTAACCATCTTAGAAGCTTTTGGATGGACGTCGGCTACTTAAAAGGTTACTATATAAATAAATAAATAGGCATGTACAATAAAGTTTATGTGTGTTAAATGATCTAGAGACATCATCTTCAGTGTATAACTGTCATGTTTTTGGGAGAATTACAAAGCACGGTGTCATGATTTATATCTTTGAATACAGAATGCTGTTAAAGCACATGATGGAAATTGGAGTATGTTGCTAGATAAACATAAGCACGTTGTTAGCATTGTTTTTGAAAGATGCCCACTGTTTCATGTCAGGATATTCTGATCTTTACTTTTTAGTGCCTTTCAGGGGAATAGTATTCATCAAGTGCTGACTTGGATCAGAAATGTTATTTGGCCTGTGTTTCAATTTCCTTTTGTTTTCCATGCTGTGTACATTGACAATTTTTAACATGCATGAATCTCTCCTTAAGCACTTGGGCATGTACATTTCAAAAGGAAAGAGAAACAATTAAATGCTCTGATAATATGAAATACAACCTGACATATATATCTCGCAGATCAATATCATATGGGGTTGTGGTTCGTCTGTCTAAATCCTTTTGCTATAGGATCGGAATGGATACGGAAAACGAATTGCAACGTTCCAAACTGTATTTAATGTTATGGTGCAACCATTACATTGGAATCTCTTCCTTACATCATACCTAATGTCCAAATGTGTTTCATTTCAATTGATCTTATATTCAATAGTCTGTATCTTTTTCCTATTTCAAAGAATAGATTAAGGACGATATCTGCGAATGATTGCCATACTCAGAACCAAGTAAAATGATCGAAGGCTAGGTATTGTGAGATACCATCTCAAATTAACCTTTTCTCTCTCTCACAAACTTTCTATACGAATGATGTCTTCAAGATGTCGTGAGCGTGTCAGCAAATGATCAATATTATAATATCGACTTCATTATTTATTTCCTCAGCATATTCATCAACAAACAAATGTGGTTTACAATATAATAGGATGCCCTTTGCACACTGTCAGGCAACATTTGTGTACAATAACAAAAAATGAATAACAAGGTAAATGCAGCACTAGTTGATGTGGATGGGACTTGTGATTTCCCTTAGGCGTTTCTATGAAGTGCACTGTCGTCTACAGACAAAGCTCGACTGAGAGTCGTCATATCGTAGCTGCTGTCGTTGCTGTATAGGTCTCCCTGGTCTTCGTCGTCCTCACTATATGAGCTGTCGGACAAGAGTTCCGTGAAGGAAGCTTCATCATCATTGAAAGAGGTATCTGCATTCCAGTCCGCCTCCGAATCACTCTCTGCAGAAGCATCTTTGGTGATGGCGTTTACACAGGCTTGCACCTCTTGCCACTTGAGTTGTCTGTAGATGGTAAACATCTCCTTGACACCTTCCAGCACCCATCGTCTCTGGATCAGCTGTTCACCTCGGATTATGCAGTTGTTGGAGGAGTTGGCTGTCATCTTCCGCATCAGATGGTAGACTTGGGTATCTGAAAACAATAAAACGGGTAATTAGAAATCTCGCTAAATGTGTTCACAACAATGTCATTTTATTTTGTTCAATTCTAAAATTCAGTGTGATACCAATATTGCCATGTTTGCAGGGGACTGAAAAAGAGCACAGTTCATATTTACCTAATGTCAGGATCTCTTTCACTGCATTGTCGTGGGCAATAAGGAGACGTCTCAGCTTGATGGCAACTTGAACTGGATCCATTTTCTAGGGCCTTCGGACACAACACTAGAATGCAGTCGGATGAAATACTACAGGAATTCAGTAGCGCCAAATTTGGATAATTGGAAAGTAGACGTGTTGGTTTTCACGGATTGAGATGAAGTGAAGGACTCCAGTCCGTGCAAAACATTTATACTGACCCTTAGTATAAACATAGTAGTGGAGATTTATAGATCAAAGAGAGCATTTTCGAAGCCAGTGGCGAGATCAAAGCTACACTGCAACTTCATTAGGCTTTGATCCGAAAGGAATCTCACTGTCCACTTGAGAAACCAATCAACTTCTTGTCAAAACAAGTTTCCGTATAAAGGGAGAGGTCTGAGAAGAGTTCAACCAATCTAGTCCTGTTATCTCCAGGGATTATCAATCATTGTTAATTGATTAAATCGGGATTGATCAAACGGCGCAGTACGTTGTGATACTTAAAAA